GTGTGTGTGTGTGTGTTTGTGTACTCACCTAATAGTACTCACCTAATTGTGCTTGCAGGGGTTGAGCTTTGGCTCTTTGGTCCCGCCTCTCAACTGTCAATCAACTGGTGTACAGATTCCTGAGCCTACTGGGCTCTATCATATCTACATTTGAAACTGTGTATGGAGTCAGCCTCCACCACATCGCTTCATGTGTGTGCGAACGTGCGTGTGCGTATGTGTATAATGACACTACAAAGAGGGAAAACAGAGCACTCAACAAAACAAATATTCGACCTATATCCTCTAAATCTGACAAAACAAACAAACAAACGACATATCCTGCATTGCACAATGCAATTCATATTAAATGCTTGCAATAAATGCTGAAGTCATCTTTATCTATAGTTGAGAATTCCGACCCTCTTCGTAGCTGTCATCGGGTGCTTGAAGTTCACTCCAATACTCCACTTTAGATTCTTATGCTATCACTGTTTATTATTTTCGCTCTCTCTTACCATTCTCTTTCTCCCCCTTCATATTGCTTTTTATCTTCGTCGACCCTTACTCTACTGTTTTTGTAATATATATATATATATATATATATATATATATATATATATATATATATATATATATATATATATATATATATATAAGGGGTACCACCTCTGGTGCAAGTGTAGGGACCACTAGACTCGGAGAAGAAAATAAGAGTACTCAGTGAAGACCTTGTGGATCCTCACTGAATACTTTGATATTTTCTTTTCCTACCATCCCTATTCTTTATGTATGTATGTATGTACGTATGTATGTATATATATATATATATATATATATATATATATATATATATATATATATATTATTAAATATGACCGAAAAAGTAAGATTAATAATTCTAACACGAATTTTCTCAATCTTTCGTACATTTCTTTTCACTGTTGGAGGTAAATCAAAAATCAATTCTCCAAAATTCATTTTTATTTCTAGTCTGACGCGACACGAGCGCGTTTCGTAAAACTTATTACATTTTCAAAGACTTTAGTTTACAAATACACAACTGAATAGAACTTACGCATCTCCGATTTTATATCTACATTTGAGTGAGGTGGATGGGGTGAGGTGGCATTAATAGGGTATTAATTTCATCAACACAAGACAGAACAAGAGGTGGCATTAATAGGGTATTAATTTCATCAACACAAGACAGAACACGAAACAATGGGCATTGAATAGAAGTGTTTGTAGAAAGCCTATTGGTCCATATTTCTTGATGCTTCTATATTGGAGCGGAGTCTTGAGGTGGGTAGAATATAGTTGTGCATTAATTGGCTGTTGATTGCTGGTGTTGACTTCTTGATGTGTAGTGCCTCGCAAACGTCAAGCCGCCTGCTATCGCTGTATCTGTCGATGATTTCTGTGTTGTTTACTAGGATTTCTCTGGCGATGGTTTGGTTGTGGGAAGAGATTATATGTTCCTTAATGGAGCCCTGTTGCTTATGCATCGTTAAACGCCTAGAAAGAGATGTTGTTGTCTTGCCTATATACTGGGTTTTTTGGAGCTTACAGTCCCCAAGAGGGCATTTGAAGGCATAGACGACGTTAGTCTCTTTTAAAGCGTTCTGTTTTGTGTCTGGAGAGTTTCTCATGAGTAGGCTGGCCGTTTTTCTGGTTTTATAGTAAATCGTCAGTTGTATCCTCTGATTTTTGTCTGTAGGGATAACGTTTCTATTAACAATATCTTTCAGGACCCTTTCCTCCGTTTTATGAGCTGTGGAAAAGAAGTTCCTGTAAAATAGTCTAATAGGGGGTATAGGTGTTGTGTTAGTTGTCTCTTCAGAGGTTGCATGGCGTTCACTTTCCTTCTTATGATGTCTTCGACGAAACCATTGGAGAAGCCGTTATTGACTAGGACCTGCCTTACCCTACAGAGTTCTTCGTCGACTTGCTTCCATTCTGAGCTGTGGCTGAGAGCACGGTCGACATATGCGTTAACAACACTCCTCTTGTACCTGTCTGGGCAGTCGCTGTTGGCATTTAGGCACATTCCTATGTTCGTTTCCTTAGTGTAGACTGCAGTGTGGAAACCTCCGCTCTTTTCCATGACTGTTACATCTAGAAAGGGCAGCTTCCCATCCTTTTCCATCTCGTAAGTGAAACGCAGCACGGAACTCTGCTCAAATGCCTCCTTCAGCTCCTGCAGATGTCTGACATCAGGTACCTGTGTAAAAATGTCGTCAACATACCTGCAGTATATGGCCGGTTTCAAGTTCATGTCGACTAAGACTTTTTGCTCGATGGTACCCATGTAGAAGTTTGCAAACAGGACACCTAGGGGAGAACCCATGGCGACCCCATCTACTTGCTTATACATATGCCCATCTGGGCTCAAGAAGGGTGCCTCTTTAGTACAAGCTTGGAGTAGTTTCCTCAGAATATTTTCTGGTATGTCGAGAGGAGTACAGGCTGGATCACGATACACTCTGTCGGCTATCATCCCGATTGTCTCGTCCACAGGTACGTTGGTAAACAGCGATTCTACGTCCAACGAGGCTCTTATCCCTGTGGCCCGTGTGCCCCGCAGTAAGTCAACAAATTCCTTTGGAGACTTCAGGCTGAAGGCGCAGGAAAAGAAACCAGAAAAACGGCCAGCCTACTCATGAGAAACTCTCCAGACACAAAACAGAACGCTTTAAAAGAGACTAACGTCGTCTATGCCTTCAAATGCCCTCTTGGGGACTGTAAGCTCCAAAAAACCCAGTATATAGGCAAGACAACAACATCTCTTTCTAGGCGTTTAACGATGCATAAGCAACAGGGCTCCATTAAGGAACATATAATCTCTTCCCACAACCAAACCATCGCCAGAGAAATCCTAGTAAACAACACAGAAATCATCGATAGATACAGCGATAGCAGGCGGCTTGACGTTTGCGAGGCACTACACATCAAGAAGTCAACACCAGCAATCAACAGCCAATTAATGCACAACTCTATTCTACCCACCTCAAGACTCCGCTCCAATATAGAAGCATCAAGAAATATGGACCAATAAGCTTTCTACAAACACTTCTATTCAATACCCATTGTTTCGTGTTCTGTTTTGTATTGATGAAATTAATACCCTATTAATGCCACCTCTTGTTCTGTCTTGTGTTGATGAAATTAATACCCTATTAATGCCACCTCACCCCATCCACCTCACTCAAATGTAGATATAAAATCGGAGATGCGTAAGTTCTATTCAGTTGTGTATTTGTAAACTAAAGTCTTTGAAAATGTAATAAGTTTTACGAAACGCGCTCGTGTCGCGTCAGACTAGAAATAAAAATGAATTTTGGAGAATTGATTTTTGATTTACCTCCAACAGTGAAAAGAAATGTACGAAATTTTGAGAAAATTCGTGTTAGAATTATTAATCTTACTTTTTCGGTCATATTTAATAATATGACAGGAAAGGCTAACAGGAAAGACTGCTACCAAAATATACTAATATATATATATATATATATATATATATATATATATATATATATATATTTTAAATATAGGGAAGGGAGTACCACCTCTGGCTGGAAGAAGGGGGACCCATAGCCTCGGAGGAAACCACACATAACGCATTGGAGGGAATGTAGGTCATTTCCTCTCTGGATCGCCACACTATGGCGCTGAAAGGAGAAACTGGCGGCTCTAGGGTCTCTAGTTGTTTTAATTAGTTTGGAACCCAGCGCCTTCAAAAAAACTAGCAGCACTTTTACCCCAGGCACCTAGTGTCTCTGAGGCAATAGGGACAAAATTATAGTGGTGATCAAGATCCCTGAATTTATGTGACTTGGCTGCTTCCCGGTGATTGGCAGCACCTCCTGCCTGTGCAGCACTGAAGTCAACATAGGTGTTGGCTAAAGTTGAAACGCAAATGTAGTCCCAAACCAACTGTCTACCATTCTTCCAGGGGTTCATCGTGATCCCGTCTGGGCGACCGACAGGCTCATCAGAGTTGTGGGGCATTAGGTAACGGGGCTCTCTCTCTGTGCTGGACAACCGGCTTTAGTAAGGCTTCTCTTAATAATGTCATTAACCTCGCCGTGTCTTACATGCCATCCTCCTGTCCTTTGGCAAAGAAGGCCATGCCGTCGGTACCTGTCGGTCACTGCCGCACTGCAAATACACCTGTATTCGGTGTGGATTGGGGCAGCGAGGCGGAGAGCCACACCAATTCGGAGGGTTTGCGGTGTGAGACGAGTGCTGGTTGCTGACATTGGGGTTGCTAATAGGAAGTCACCTGCATGAGGAGCTGCTACAGCTTTAAGTCAGGCAGTATATTATATACAGTATATATAATATACTGTATATAATATACAGTATATTATATATATATTAAGAATCACGGATTCTTGTGACAGTTTGAGACGTATTGCATGAGAATTATATTCGTTAATAATGCATGTTGTGTTTTCATTATGATTGTCAACAAATACCATGATGAGTTATGAGTTGATTGTTGTTGAGTGCGCTCGTTCTGATTGCTGTGTTGTTAAGAGGAATATTTAGATAATTCTTAACAGTTAACAGAGAACGCCGGAGGAGTGAAAAGTATATATTTTTATTGAGATTTAATAAGGCCCATCAACCTCTGGAGGGTTATTAAGGCCTATCAATCTCTGAAATCTAAAGGATTCTTTTAGCCTATCAACCTCTGAAGGGTTATTAAGGCCCCCACAACTTCTGGAAGCTTATTAAGGCCTATTAACTTTGGAGGGTAATTAAGGCTTATCAACTTCTAGAGGGTTAAGGCCTACCAACCTATGGAGGGCTATTAATGCCTATCAGCCTCTGTTAAGGCCAATAACCCACCCTTTCCCCTCTTGCTCCTGGTCTCTTCCTCACCTGTACTCCCTCTTTCTCTCCCTCTTCACCTGTACCTACCTCCCTCCCTCACTCACCAGTTCCTCCCTTCAGCTAACTCCCTCCCACACTCCCTTACCTCAAGCACTAACCCTATTCCCCGACTCCCTCACCTGCAACTTTCTCTCAGGGCTCTCCTTGATGGCCATAGCTATGAGGGCGACGTAGGAGTAGGGGGGTTTCTTGTTGGGATCGGTGTCGCTGGCGTCCTTCGTGTTCTCGTCCTGGGGGAGACAAGCAGGGGCACACTTACACACGCAGGCGATGAGTCACAATAACGTGGCTGAATTATGTTGACCAGACCACACACTAGAAGTTGAAGGGACGACGACGTTTCGGTCCGTCCTGGACCATTCTCAAGACTTGAGAATGGTCCACACACTTGTGTGTCTGGTGTGTCTGGTCAACACACTTACACACACGCATCACAATAACGTGATATATCGATGAACACGTCTAATAGGAGCCTTTATGAGGGTTCGAACCTATGCGGTGGCCTGGGTGTTCGAACTTGTTGTTTTATACGTTGTACAGACTTGTTTATATTTGTGTTGTGCTTTTCAATTGTATTACAAAAAATATATATCTCGTCTTTAAAACTTGTGTTGATCAACACGTATTTTATGCATTTTATGGAATTTGACAGAATTATGAGATATAAACTTCATGAGTGGGATGAACTTATTATGAAAGCCAAAAGGTAACATCGTAAGGATTTATATAACAGCCTTGCTATAGAGTATAACAAAAATATACAAAACTATGTATAAACTTAGAGTTGTAATTGCAACAATTCGTGAAATTTTATAACGAATTGTAACAAAATAATTGAAAAAGTGTTTCAAGGTAAATTGTAAGAGGAATTTACCTTTTTACTTCCGCTGGAGCCGTGTGAGGCGGCTTTCTCTGGCCTTTCCGGGACGGCGGCCGGGGTGTCCAGCGTCTGAACCGTCTTCTCGTAGGTGGTCGAGTCCACCGGCTCGATCACCTTCGAGTCGTACGACCTGTCGTACGACGTCGAGTCCAACGTCTCCAGGGTCTTGTAGGTTTTCTCGTAGCACTTCTCGTACGAACCTTCGTCTAAATGCGACTCCAAGTGCGGTTTAGACGCGTACATTTTGCCGTAGGACTTAACCTCATGGCTGTCGTAGGCGGGTGTGTCCATCTGATCTAGCGGCAGCTTATCGTACTCCTTCGCCACGTAGAGCTTGTCGTAAGCTTTAGAGGTGTCGTAAAGTTTATTGTCGTACATTTTGGGCGCGTCGAAGGTGTGTGGGGTGCTGGAGGAGTTGATCTGGTCGTAGGTCTTGACTGGAACATGGTGCTCGGGCTCTATCGTGGGCATGAGGAGCGGCTTCGGGTACACCTCAGGTCTGGTGGAAGCGCCGGCGGTGAAGGGAGACACAGATGAGGAATTGGGATTAGAGAAAAATGGCATTAAGCGTAGAGCAAATTGCCACAGGGCTATGCTGAGACGTCATGTATATATATATTGAGAAATGCCAAGATGGATGTCTTGTAAATAGTGCAATACGAAGATGTAAATCTTGTATGTATAACATATCCCTGCTACCCATGACAGACATATCCCCCGGTACCTGCACCAGACATATCCCCGGTACCTGCACCAGACATATCCCCGGTACCAGACATATCCCCGGTACCTGCACCAGACATATCCCCGGTACCTGCACCAGACATATCCCCGGTACCTGCACCAGACATATCCCCGGTACCTGCACCAGACATATCCCCGGTACCTGCACCAGACATATCCCCGGTACCTGCACCAGACATATCCCCGGTACCTGCACCAGACATATCCCCGGTACCTGCACCAGACATATCCCCGGTACCTGCACCAGACATATCCCCGGTACCTGCACCAGACATATCCCCGTACCTGCACCAGACATATCCCCGGTACCTGCACCAGACATATCCCCGGTACCTGCACCAGACATATCCCCGGTACCTGCACCAGACATATCCCCGGTACCTGCACCAGACATATCCCCGGTACCTGCACCAGACATATCCCCGGTACCTGCACCAGACATATCCCCGGTACCTGCACCAGACATATCCCCGGTACCTGCACCA